GGATCTTCTCCTTGAGCTCAAAAGGTGAATATGTAAGCTGAAATTTGAAGAATGCACGAGCAGGTTGAGAGAAAGCTTGAGAATTCTTGAAAATGCAGAAAAAGTGTGCAATCAGATTTTGGAGAAGAAGCTTGTATGCAACTTCAGGATTCCCAGCCCTCTTTTCTGGAGTGAAGAACAAACTTATATAGAGAAAAGAAGCGTGTTAGGGATGCTTTGCAGAGGGATAATTCAGTCTTTTGCAAGCTTAGAGTCGTTAGAGGGCAATGCTAGAAATTTGAAGCAAGTTTGAGTGAAACTAAGCAGCTTGAGTTTCATGCCTTATTGCTAACCATGTGTGTGTGTTTTGATGAGTGAAAAGAAAGTAGATTTGAGTGAGATAAGTGTGTGAAGGATGAGCTGGCATAGACTGCCTTGCTTGCCTTGCCAATAAACACTTGAATCGGTTGCGACAAATTCAAACTTTCTCAATATTTCCTCGTGAGTTTTTGAAAAGAATGAGGACTTTAGGAAGCTTACATGACAAGCAACAATATTGTAGTTGATGGAAATTCAAAATGGTGTTTGCAAGTTGATGGAAAAATGGCATGAATTTGAGAATAATTTTGTTGGGGCAGGCTTCGCGCGCGCGCATTTCATAAGCATATATGTATGGCAAGGAAACTTCATGAGTTAATCTTTAAACCCTAGAATCTCATTCAATTGTGATCCAAATTAAATTATTCAAAGCTCAAACTGTAGCTTACATACCCAATTACAATTTCCTTTTGAATTCCAAATCCAATTATCACTTGTATTAAGAAGTAGAACCTTGTGAATATAGGCACGTCAGGTGTTTGATGTAACAACTGTACCAACACGCACGTGAGACAAATGTTCTGGCTAGAAAGATAGCATCTCAAGCCCTTGTGTTCATTTCATTGTAACTCTCATCATAATGCTCAGAATGGAATGATCTTTAAATCAAAATTGAAGAGGACACAAATATCTCCAACTTTGATGTTCAAAATTTTTTGAAATTATAATCCATTCATTAAGAAAAATGATGGTGAATGTGTTCCCACCACATGTTTGATGAAATTCCACGCCTGAGGCCTCCTTTGCTGGGAAAACTTGCCATCTTTGGGCCCTAAACTCCTAAACACAATAACTCACAAATGCTTCACTTTTGAAGTTTGAGCACACATTAACAAACTTGTAGGTCTTTTCTCAGGCTTTCCAAGCATATAAGATTTCCTCCATTGGATAAAAAATGAGAGAGTTATGAATGTCCACAATTTGGTACTATAGGACTTAGAATTTTCTTTCTAAATGTTCAAATACCTTTTTGAACAAGTTATCTCCATTTTGATCTTTTCTTTTGATTTTTTGACACCAATGATTATGAAATATGAAAATAGAATACTTGAATTGTTGGTTGACCAACAGTCCACTTGGTCAACTTTGACTTTGGTTGACTTTTGGTCAAAATGACTATTTTGCCCCTTTTGATCAATTGAACTTATTTCAATCAAAATTGATGGTCAACCTTTCTATCATAGATGCTCATAAACATTTTAAGGAGCATGGAATCAAATATTTCCCAAGAAATCAAAAATTTCTTGATCAAACCAAAAACCCTAATTTTGGCTCTCTGTGTTAGGAGATGATGATCAAGCTTCAAAACCTTCATTCTCTTGGTCAATTTGAGAAATTATTTGAAAAAATATATCTTATATAATGATGAGTAGATGATGCTTCACACATTTGTATTTGTTAAGCCTCAGATTCCCCAACTGATCAAAATCCTAATCTTGAGAGATGAACAGTGGGAATGTGGTTCTTCTCCAAACTTTGCAAATTTCCATCTTCTAATGATCATATGGGACAAATGGAATGTCTACCAATATAAGAAAACCTTATAGCTTTAAGAGAGTTTAAAGATGGGAGATATGAGATCCTCTTTTACACTGACTTACCAAGAAAACATCCTCTAGAGCTTGTAGAGGAACTTGGGAACTTGAATACCCTAATCCTTAACATGAGAATGTATGAATGTGTATGATAAAGCATAAGCCAAGTGACTAAAATAAAGATGGAAAATTTTGGGATGCAACAGATATCACCAAGCACCTTTCTGTTTCTTTTTCCATTTATGGTTGTTTACACTTTAACTTTGCTAACCTTATTCAAACTACAAAATATATGTTTCTTTATTTTCTTATTGTTCAAGGTAGGTACTTGCAATCAAAGGATCAAGCTTGGTTTCTAAATTAGGGTTTTTGTTCCCAAAGTAAAATTTGGTCAACAAGTGGTTCGCGAGAGCTTTTACTTCAAGGCAAGACCTGTAATAGTAGGTCATATTCATGTCAAGCTTCAGTCAACTCCATTTGGTCAAGAAAAGTTCAAGTTTGGTGCATAATATCAAAGATGATTCAAGTATGGCTCATATGTTTGTTTCCATACCATCTTCATCTAATTCTCAAGCAATCATCAAATATTATTCAAGTGACAATCAAGCTTCCTTTATTTGGTATTCAAATGGTCACCATTGGGCTTTGGATGCAAGAAAACATCGAAAAATCACAAGTTGGTACATGTGTGGTTGACCTAAAATAAAGTATGGAATGTCCTTTGGTTCAAACACCATAACTCTCTCATTTCTAAACATTTTTGGAATCTACTTCGAGCCAAATTCCACGTTTGTACTCCTCTACAACTTTACTTCAAGGGTCAAACACCAATTTTACTCAACTTCCATGTGAGAACAAAAGTAGGTCTAAGACATGGTCGACCTATTGCCTGACCTGGAAAATTAGGTTACGATCTGAACTTTTCATCCATGCCATTTTCAACTCAAGCATCCTTTTAATCTAATTCTTTTTGCATTGGATTCTCTAGTATGAAGAGATCATTTGGCACGAAGAATATTTCAAAATGAATAAAAGGATTTCATTTGGACTTAGATTTAACATGGTGCCCTAAGCTATGCATTTTCACGCATGACCCGTAATTAGAAATCACCAAAAGTTCACTAGGGACAACCAACACATGTTCAAAGTTGTTTGTCCTTGCAAAATGCGTCATGTAGAGTGCAAAACAACCTGCTTTGGTGCCAAAGTCACACATTTCATCACTCAACTTCATACGGATTGCAAATTGCAAATTTCATACTTGGTTCACAAGCTCTATATCTAATCTCTCACGTACCATGACCTCATTGTATTTCCTATAAATAGAGGACCATTTTGGCTTCATTTGCAAGCTTGAACAGACACAAAACCTCTGTCATTTTCACACCCGAAACCTTCAAAAAACCATAAACCCTAATTTCATTTTAGGCTTCTTTTAACTTTAAATTTTTGCCCAGAATCATTCATCAACATCATCTGAAGCTAACTGAACCATTACAGCAACTTGAAACCTCCTGCAACCTTTAACTCAATTTCACCATTTTTGAACCTTCAAAGCCTCAACGAAAAGGTAGATACGAGTAAAATTTATGAGCAAACAAGTTACCACACTCTTCGTCTTGATTTACTAATCGAAAGCTCTCACTTACCTAGAATTTATCTTTCGTATTAGTCATTTAATTTTACTTTGAAGAATCTAGGTTTTATGTGTTTTTGAGCAAATTCTCTCTGCTCAAAGTCAATCAATGGCTTTGATGCAGAGAGACATGAATTATGACATGAGTAGAAGTTTAATCATGTGGTGTTTGAGCTTAAAACTCAGAGTTCATGGATCTACAAAATCGAGCTAAGGTTGAAGACGATGCATGTGTTTGCGCCCTATGGTAGGAAATTTGAATATCCTGGCCAATCAAAATGCACCACGCCTCCTAGCCGTTGGTTTATTTTATTTTCTTTTTGTTTTTAAGTCATTTTAAGTCCTTTTTTTATTATTTATTTTTAATAGCTCATTTATTATTTTTTACTCCAATTTTTTTATAAATCATAAAAAATATTTTCTATCACATATGTTTTTTTCCGGAATTTTAAAATGATTTTTACCATTTTTTTTCTATTTTATTTCTATTTATTTTTTGATTTCCATTTAACAATTTATTTTGATGCATTTTTGAAATTTTTTCACTCCAACTTTTGAGATATTTTTATTTGTAATATTTCTGATTTTTCAAATTTTCTTGGCCATTTATTTTATGTTTTATTGCATCTTTTAAAATTTCCATTCAATTTCTATTTTAAGTCTTTTTTAAAATCTTTTTTTAGACTTATTTTTTATTTATTTTTGTTTGACTTCTATTGACTTTGGATCTTGACTTGGTTGATTAATGCTTCATCAATTTCAATTGCTCTTTAGATGATATTTTGATTGCATGAACTTTCTTCATTTCAAATTTATCATTTAAATGATCATTGGATCATTTTTTATACTTAGGTTTGATGATAAGTTTATCCCAATGTGTCGTGAATTGAATGATTGAAATTGATGATAGATGATCCCTTGACATGTTTCAATTGTGTTTGATCATCTTTTCTTCTCCATCTTCTTCTTTTTATTTTTATTTTGATCATTATGGTACATTATTTTAAGATGATGATTTGTATCATTCCTATAACATGTATTACACATAAATTGTTATGGACCGACCTCTAATAAAAACGATGTCTAAGATGTGTTGTCTTAAAGTAGTTTTAGCGTAATGCTTAAATTCAACAATCACCTCAACAAATGTAATTAAACCACATCTCTATAAATACTAAGCTTCCACCTCTTATTTCTTGTTTATTATTTATTGTATTATTTTTTTAATATAGTCTGTCAATGTGTGAATATTTTTTTATTGTAAAAAATGTCATCATCATAGAGATCACATGGTGTGGATACATGATTGCATTGCTCACCACTTGCTTCTATTATTTATTTTCATTTACCAAATATTAAACAATATTTTCCTCTATAAAAACCTACACTCACGCCTAATCTTCCTCACACCAAAACTATCCAATTAATTCAAAGCCTAACCAATCCTTTCTCTTCTTAGCCAATCACCAATCATGTCATCAATACTACACTCTTTGATCTTATTGTCCTTGATCACTTTGCCATTAGCATTGGGCATATCAAGTGAACGTAGCAACAAGGAGGTTACGAGGATGTACGAGAAATGGATAGTAAAACACCAAAAAGTGTATAACGGTTTAGGAGAGAAAAAACAAAGATTTGAAAAACAAAGATTTGAAATATTTAAGGATAATTTAAAATTCATTGATGAGCACAATGCTGAAAATCACACTTATAAAGTTGGATTGAACAAGTTTGCAGATATGAGTGATGAAGAATATTGTATGTATTTGGGCACAAAGACTAATAATATTAAAAATAAGACGAGCAATGAATGATATGTTTATAAGGCAGATGATAATGATATATTGCCTGAGTCTGAGTCTGTTGATTGGAGATGGGCTGTTGGTAGTATCAAAGATCAAGGAGAATGCGGTAAGTTTGCTTCTGATTTTATTAAACTTTGAATCACTTTCATCTGTTTCATATAATTTTGTGGTTATGCAAGATCTTGTTGGGCGTTTTCCACAGTAGCAGCAGTGGAAGCGATTAACAAGATAGTAATAGAAAGTTTTAGGAATTTATTTGTACAAGAGCTTGTGGACTGTGATAGAACAAAAAGTACAAGGTGCAAAGGTGGTTACATAGACAAGGCCTTGAGCAACACTGGATATTTTAATTCAACAAAAAATATATAACGAGTTAGGAGAGAAAGAGCAAAGATTTCAAATATTTAAGGATAATTTAAATTTCATTGATGAGCACAATGCTCAAAATTACATTTATATAGTTGGGTTGAACAAGTTTGTAGATATAACCAATAAAGAATATTGTGGCATGTATTTGGACACGAGGAGTGATGCTAAACGTAAGATCATGAAAAATAAAATCACCGGTACACTTATAACTCTGTTGATCGATTGCCGATGCATATTGATTGGAGGGTGAAAGGTGTTGTTACTCGCATCGGAAGTTGTGGTAAGTTCTTTCTGCTTTCTTATAATTTTTTTAAGTTAGTTATTTCTTCTTTCAAAAACAAAAGATTACTTATAGGTTAAGGACTTTATTTACATTTCACTTCAACAAACTTTATCTTTTTTATATATTTTTCTCTACAACAAACTTTATACTTTCCCAAGGTCACTTGCATATATATTTTCGTATTGAAACTTGAGACAATTTTTAGATACGAAAAACTTTTACTTTTTTTACTTAAGAATCATATACTTAATTTCTAAAATGATTTATTAAAGTATAAATAGAAAAATACTGTCTAAAGAAATATTATTAGAATTTTTTTCTATTTCCTTAGGGAATTCATGAATGAAATAGAAAATACTTATATGAATTAAATTTTGAAATGCATGATTAAGCTGATAAGAAAGCTTAAATGAAACTAATTAAAGATAACATGAGTTATGTATAGCATTAATCAAATTAAACTACTACTATTAGCCAATAATACTTTTACTCGTGATTTAGTTTTCTTAAAGTAAAATTAATTTTTTTGTCTTTCATAATGAAGTATAAAAGTGATTTTTATATGAAAATTTATAACTCGATTCACTTTTAAAATTTAAAATATATTTAAATATAAATTATTTTATCCTCAATTATTTTTAATCTGAATCAATTATTTAAAATTATTTTGTATCACCACATAATCAAACACACACATTGAATTTAATATTTAAATTCTTATGATAAAAAAAAATCCAAACATGTTTGAATGATATGATTCAGACCTCTTATAATTTAATGGAGATTTTGAGTTTAAATCCAACACTAAAAAATTCAGCCACTCTAAATTTTTTGAAGGATATATGAAAAAATTTAAATGACTAAAAGCACATTTGATCACTAATTTATTTGATTTAGGTAAAAATAGGTGCTAACCCTTAAAGGTGTAGATGGATTGCATTTATTAATTATTAATTTACACTATTTATTGAACTGATGGAGGAAGTTGTTGGGCATTCTCAACAATAGCCACAGTGGAAGCTATACACAAGATAGTCACAGGGAAGCTTGTGTCTTTATCAGAACAAAAGAGCTTGTAGATTGTGACGGCTTTCAATGAAGGGTGCAATGGTGGTCTCGTGGACTATGCCTTTGAGTTCATAATTGGAAATGGTGGCATAGACACTGGACCAACACTATCCATACAAGGGATTTGAGGGTAGATGTTATCCAACAAGGGTGAGTGGTTTAAATAAAACAGTACTACAAGATAATACTAAAATAACTAGGGCGCATTCTTTGATGTCTCTGATAATATATTTTGAGTGTTGATTGATTGTGTTAATGATATGGGTACTTGTGATGATGCAGAAAAATGCCAAGATAGTGAGCATTGATGGATGAGGATGTTCCATCATATAATGAAAATGCATTAAAGAAAGCTGTGGCTCATCAACCTGTTAGCGTTGCTATTGAGGCTTCTGGAAGGGCTTTGCAACTCTATCAATCTGTAAGCTTATTCATATTTCATAATCAAAATCATACACAATTAACTTAAAATGGCATGCTAATAAACTCATGTCTATTCATTATTATTTTCAGGGTGTATTTACTGGTAAATGTGGGACAAACTTAGATCATGCTGTGGTGGTTGTTGGATATGGCTCTGAAAATGGTGTTGATTATTGGTTGGTAAGGAACTCATGGGGGGGCACTAACTGGGGTGAAGATGGTTACTTCAAGATGGAGCGTAATGTGAAAAGAACTTACACAGGAAAGTGTGGAATCGCAGTTGAAGCCTCATACCCAGTGAAGTATGGTCAAAACTCTGCAGTCACTACTAATTCGGCTTATAAAAATACTGAAGTGCTTGTTAGCAGTGCTTGAAACACCATCAAAAACTCTGCAGTCACTACGAACTAAACCTAAGTACTAAATTAATATCACTATTGGTTAATCTTGTACATAGATTATTCCTTCCTGTGAAAGCTGCACCTCTATCAGTTTGTACTGTGGCTTTCACTATCTTTAAATTTCAATGTGTAATTTGAATTCAACCTGCTAGTTATATTTTGGATTTATATAAACTTTTGCCAACATCCTGCACCCCTGTTCTTCAATATGAAAAGCTGGTACACTAATATAAATTCTAGAGCACTCGAAACATTCTAACTGCTTACAAATTGTTGCATGACCAGTAACATACCCATGCTTTAACACCAGGACAAATGAACAATTTGAGTAAAGATTGTCCTACAAAGACATCTTCTAACAACAATCTAACCAAGTTAGCATGGCTAAAACCATTATGCATACTCCTCTTACTATTCCTCAAATCATTCAACTAAATCAAACATGACATGGTAAAACTAATCAACACAATAACAATTACCCCAAATAAAATGAATCATAAAGAAACTGATGTACTAAGTTAGAATACTCACTCTCCATGACAACAACCACATGCGCCAACACTTATACTAACTTCACACAATCAAATCCGCTTCGCTAAAGATTTAGTGAAGTTTGCCAGTTGAGTTATCTGAGCAGTGGTATATTAATAAGCCTACATGGCATTTAGTGAAGTTTGCGAGGTGGATTTCCTGAACAATGGTATGCCTATAAACCTACTTTCAAGTCCATGACTTACTGATGGGCCAAATGATCATTTCATTAAAATTAAAATTAAAATATATTCGAGAAAAAATCATTCACGGCCAAACAAAACGAGCTTGTAGGCTGATTTCAAGAAAAGGGAGTTCCTCAAAAGCTGAATTGAAGATATTATAGAAACAGTTCAAGATGTACATCAGTACAGGGGCATTGCAAATACGGAAGGAGATTCATTCTACTCAAGCTACCTAAGACTCATTATTTGAATAGGAATTCAAGAATAAGATGCATTTGCCCATCTATACAGATATAGAAAAGAAATGTAGAGGAATTAAGATAAAGAACCAATATAAGCCACAATATCTCACCCCTAAAGCTAAATCCTCTACTAGAGTCTAAAGTCTAGCAATTTTTCAACAGGGAATTGAATGTCCAGTTGTCCATACCAGACCACAAAGTAACCTCTCTCAGATGCCATCACACCTTCATGTTGCTCCAGCTTCCAAAATTTACTGCAAATGATATCAAGCTGCATGCAGGTCTGTGAGTTATAAATGAAACAAATGAAGTTTCAGTTAAATTGAAAAAATCAGTCCTCCGAAACTCTAGTGCTTTCTGCTGATGCTCTCTTCCCATCATAGCGCTAAAAGAAAATTAAACAAAACCAAATATTTATCATCAGCGGCAGAGAAGTAATAATCATATAAAAAAAAACACCACTAAATGACAATTTTGCATGAATGAAAATCTAAATTTACCTGTTTTCCAAATGAGAATGGTACATATTTGTACTTGATCATGTGAGCTATTTGTCTCCTCATAGTAAGCGTGAATAGGACCACCCAGTAGAAGAGGAGTATCGGCCAGAACACGGGGACATCAAATGCACTGAAGAAAGTCATCACAAACGCAATGCAAAATGCCTTTGTGATTGAGTACCTGTTCACAACGGAAAACATTTTTCCTATGTAAATACGAAAGTTATTTTATAACTTCAAAGCACAAACCCCAATAGATGAGCATCAAAATAGCATATGTTTTATATTACAAAATGATATCAGTTTCATGTAGTAATAAGGTGAATAGAACATCGTCAAACTCTAGTTTCAAGGAAGCAAAGCAAACAGAAGGGGAGAGACATCAACAAGCATAAGAAACCTGAAAATATTCCTCCATCGATAAGATCTCTTTCTTCAGCTTATAATAGTCACAGATATAAATACTAAATTGTATTGTGGGCATTCTGAACAAATCTTAATTTGTGTCACCGAAAATCTAGATTCTTGTCAGAAAAGAGATCACAGATGAAATTCATTTCTTAATTTCACATTGCCTACCCTTTTAGTTCCATGCATGACTGCAATCTTTTTAAGATAACCCGTCAAGGCTATAGCTTTTGCAGAAAAAATATACTTATAAACAACAACACATTAGTAACTTCAAGAATAACAACTCAATGGAGCATAATATCAGAGAATTTGAAAGTTTGGGTATTGAATTCCAAGCAATTTTAAACTTTTGTTTGGATAACTAACTGTTTAAAAATAACACAAATGTCCACTTGACAATCCTTTAGCTTTGTACCAACTGATGTGAGCTAAAAGATCAGCAAGAAAACACCAAGACAATTCATGGTGAAGCTTAGCTGAACCAGCAAAAGGAGAGGGTCAATATTGTTAGCCTAGGCTAACT